AAAACAAGGACGTATGCAGCGGTAGCTGTACTCATTCTCCCGCTCTTGTCCACTGTCTTCACCCTCCTGATTATTTACATGCTATTGTCCATCTGGCCACTGATTCTCGTCCACATCACAGCGGATTCTTTCTCTTGCGATGCAACGAGGGAAGAAACGGCGTGCATGCCGCATTGATCTCCTGTAATGCTGTCACATGCTGCGTCCATAGCATGGAGCAGGGACGGCTGATCCTGAGCATGATGCTCATACACTCTCCCCCTCCAAGCAGAGAAAAACTCCTCTATCGGATTGAGGAAAGGAGAGTAAGGTGGTAGGAACTCCATGACCATCCTTGGATGCGTTGCAAACCAGCCCCTAACGAGTGGGCTATGGTGGAAATTGATATTGTTCCACGCAATTACACAAATGGATAGGTGAGGCCCTATGAGACCTCTCTCATTTTCAGGGATAAAATTGGTATAAAGGCGATCCAAGAAGACGAGGAGCTTGTGTGTGTTGTATGGGCCAAGACTGGGGATGTGAGTGGCCACACCATTTTCATAAATGGCAGCACACGATCATGGAAAACACCTGTGTGTGACACTCCCCGTTCGTTAGTCTAGTTTCACCTGACTGTCAATGACTGTCATCAATATTATGTATCAAATATTCAAATAAATTCATGTATGGTATTCATGGTGTTATGTTCTTGACCAATTCTGACAATTGAACTGACAGTTGTGCAGGTGAGTACTATACAATGAAATCATGCTGACATGTTTTGGAGAGAAGGATCATTAGACTGAGAATCAACTAATCAGTTTAGATCTACAAGATCTATTCATTTGGAAAATGTGCTAAATGTGGGCTAACTGTGTAACTGTAGGCTACATGTCCTTAATCATTTGCAAAGATGCACTGAGACAATTGAGACATGTACTAAGGCTTTTGCCATTTGATAAAATGAATGAGAAATGCCATTCTGTTGTGAACATTTGCCAAGAGGTTTGGAGGTTTGTCCATGTTATTTTGAGAATGTAATTTCTGTTTCAAGAAATGAGCCAAACCAATGGAGAAACACTGTAAACCAGGACTTGAAGCTGTAACAGTCTCTCTGCCCCCCTGGTGACAAGTTGCAGTACCAAGCCCCACCTAGATCCAGTTCTAGACTTTGTTTCAGCTAAAAAGGAATTTTCTTCAAGGCCAGATGATCGAGGATGTCTGCGTCTTTTCTCAGGTTTTAATCTTAATGTGTTTCGTCGACAGTCAGGAGCTCCAGATGTTCTTGTGCTTCCACAAAGTCTTTGGAAATTCTTCCATGTAATCCTTTTTTTCCAATAACCCGATCCTGGTTCCATCACAGAGCCAGTTCTCCAAGGATGTTTTTAGGGAACGCTTCTGACTTTTACTACCAACTATGTACAGAGAAAACTGTTTGGAAAAAAGATTACGAGTTGAATCAGCTCAAATGAAGAGAACATGAACACAAACAAAATTGTCTGAGGTTAAAAATGGACATTTATATCATAATTTATCAAAATTAATGGAGATTTCTGATTAATTTAGGCTGATCCTTTATGCAATCAACACTTTCAGAACACAGCACATGCTTGTGTTTGTTTTCTTTATCCATAGCTGTCTAATCACATCATTTAGCATTTTACTTCATTTCTGCCTCGGGTTTCTGTGGATGCTGGACAGAGCTCTCTTTTAGAATAATGCTTTCATTTGAAGTGAATCTCATCTCTGAACTCAGCTGCTGTTTTCACACTTGGATAGTCCAGCTGTGTAAACAGTCCCATAAAACAACAGAGATCCACTATCACTGACCGAGGCTCAGAGTCAATTACAGACCAATCTTCTGCGTGCATGAGCTCTATGATGAAATGTTTTATCACACAAGAAGCCAAAGTTTGTTTATCACTGAGCATTGATGTCCCCTTCATAGCACCGACAGGGTCAGTCAAAGTCCTCAGTTAGAGAACCAAACTGACTGAACCCTGGATGTCTACTAAACACATAAAGTCATCCAGAGTCTCCTGATTCAGGCTCTATAAGATACAACCATCAGAGGACCTTAAACCCTGAAGACCGTTTTGGATTTGTTTCAAACAAAGACTGAAGCTAAAGGGAACTGTTATCACTGCATTTATTGGTTGTGTTCTATTTGACAAACTCAAAGTTCAAGATAACTGCCAGCGTTGGTCTAGATACTGCCAAGTTAGGATTAGTTTATTACAAAAGCCAGTTTATGACATTAGTTACATCCGGTAGTCTCACGTGGAGGCTGATTCAAGTTGCTTTGTGGGCTGAACTAGACCTCTTTCTACAAACTGGGCCTCAAGAGAAGGTATCCTTTTTTTAACCCTTCTTATTCATCAAAGTGTTTAAGTCACTCTTGGTCTGACCTGTATCCTGGGGTTGGTTTGTCACAGGCGACCCTATAAAGGAAAAACACTGATCCCAAAGTCAGAGGGAAACTCGAATCCTTGACTGACTTAAAATTGTGATTCTGCAAAGTCATAAGGTGAGGAGCTCTGTCATATTGGTGGAACTCCTCATGGAAAGGTGTCTGCTGAGGTGGTGTTGGCACCTGATCAGGATGCTTCCTGCTCACCTCTCTGAAGCTTTTCCATGTGTAGCCCCTTCAGGAGGAGACCTCAAAGCAAGCCAGTTCTGTTACCTTGGCAACCCAAACATGGATATATAACATGGAAGAAAATAAATAAATAAATAAATAAATAAATAAATAAATGGATGATAGGAAGGAAGGAAGGAAGGATGGATGGATGGATGGAAGGAAGGAAAGAAGGATGGATGGATGGAAGGAAGGAAGGAAGGAAAGAAGGAAGGACGGAAAGATGGATGGATAGAAGGAAGGGAGGGAGGGAGGGAGGGATGGAGGGAGGATGGATGGATGGATGGATGAATAGATGGAAGGAAGGATGGATGGATGGATAGAAGGAAGGTAGGAAGAAAGGATGGATGGATAGATGGAAGGAAAGAAGGAAGGGAGGATGGGTGGATAAAAGAAAGAAAGAAAGAAAGAAAGAAAGAAAGAATGATGGATGGATGGATGGATGGATAGAAGGATGGATGGGTGGATAGAAGGAAGGAAGGAACGAAGGAACGAAGGAAGGATGGATGGATGGAAAGAAGGAAGGAAGGATGGATGATGGAAGGAACGAAGGAAGGATGGATGGATGGATGGATGAATAGATGGAAGGAAGGATGGATGGATAGAAGGAAGGTAGGAAGAAAGGATGGATGGATAGATGGAAGGAAAGAAGGGTGGATGGGTGGATATAAGAAAGAAAGAAAGAAAGAAAGAAAGAAAGAAAGAAAGATTCAAATGCCTAATGTAACAGTTTTTCTAAAGAAAGTTATGGATTTGATTCACAAATGTTTTGCTAATTATCTAGTTTTTTTTTTTTTTTTTTTTAGCAGCAGGTATAATTTAAAACATGCAACTGACTTTCAGGCAACAATGGTTTTGCAGGATTAGGCAAAATACAAAACATCTCACTACAAAGTGAATGTATCAATGTTGAGCCTAAAGTGGTCATAAACAATTTGTCCCGAAGTTCAAGCCAGTTGGACCAGCTGATTTTGTTCTCAGTACAAATGTGAAGCTCACCCTCGTGCTCAGGGAAAACAATCAGATCAGTCACTACGAGACTTTAAAGTCAACCCTATCAGGAGAAAACAGGAAATCATTGACATGTGTCTGTTTGGAATAGTGAATATTTCATGACAGACCAATTGCTGGACTCATATTTCATTCTGGGACCAAGCAATAAACTAGCTGCAGCTACAAACTGTCTGTAGGGAACAGTTTAATGTTTAAACATATTTAATGTATTTTAACCCACTGTAGAGAGCCTCCTTGGTGGCCTGTTTTTGGAGCGATAGCTTTAACATCCTTAAGGACTGATGAGCTAAAGGCTAATTTTAGCACAATCAAGACAGAATTGTCCCAAAACAGCTCAGTCCCCCTAAATACCACAGCAGTTGATGTAAATGTTGTTTCATAAACCTACAGTGCTGTCTAACTGCATTTTTTTAATTATTTTTTAAAACACAGAAAAGGTTTCTTTTTACCTTGCTGACAGTTTTGTTAACTGGCTGTAAACTTCCTCAGAGCTGACGCTATCGCCCTCTGCTGCCCACTCTCCCTTCACCGATGACACAGTCCCATGCAAGATCCAATGTGTAAACCCCATCAGTGCTGTCATCGTGCATTAAGTGTTTTGGCAGAAATTCCTGCCTTAATTGCTATAGTTGATGTTTTACTACAATAAAAAGCTTAATAAAATAATATCTGGGGGGGCTGCTGTGTGATTGGGGTGATTGGAGCTGTTTAAAGGCAGCAGCTAAATGGTTTGGTCTTGGTTGTGTCAGATTAGGTCATCAGTCTTAAAAGCAGTGTTTCCAAACAGAGGCCATTCAGAAAGATTCATCAGCAGGTTTGATGGGTATTATTTATTTTGACACACACACACACACACACACACACACACACACACACACACACACACACACACACACACACACACACACACACACACACACACACACACACACAGCATTTAAAATGTTATGTATTCAATGAAAGACAAAAGGAGAGCTGAGGATGAAATTTCTAAACTTTCACACCAGTCAGAAAGGTTATTGTTTTTACATTGCCTTTTACACCACAGCTGATAATAAAGCAGCTTTAGCTTAGTAAACAACGGCAGCACTTAGTTCTAACCATCGACATAAATATACGTTCTAACCGATGGTTCTAACCCTAGACTGCACTGACTCCTAGCGGACATTTCTAGTTAGTACAAGCAGTCTAGTGAAAACACGCTGACGAGTTTGCGGTGGTGATTAAATATTATGTATGCTATTGTTGAAATCATCAGCTAAATGAAACAATAGCAGTGTTTATAGTTTACCAGAAAGTGTTATCAGTGGAGCAGTGAGAGTGGAGGTCCACCTGCAGCCCTGCCCTCACAGCAGCTGCTCTGAAATCTCAACCCTGCGGTGTTTTCCGCGTTCTCCACCCATTCTCCACCTTCCTGTCTCGACTGACTCTTGCCAAAAAGTTTTCCATCTTTTCAAATTCGGGTCTGTTAGTGTTTTTTTTTCTTCTTTCAAGGTCTGTTAGCAACAGAGCAGCACCCATGGGGGAAATGCCAGAGCAAAAGTACTCATCAGACATGATTATTCGGATACTACAAGAGGCTCCGGCTGCCAGGAAGGACCTGGTTGATAATCACAGCAACCTCCTCCGAGTAGCAGATTACTGCGAGAGTAGTTACCTCCAGGTAAGTATTGTACACCAGCTCAGACACACTCCTATAGCCTTGGAACTTCTGGATCAGTTAAACTCACTTCAATAACCCTTTATAAGCTGCAGGTGTTATGGTTCTCCAGATGTTAAAGAGCAGCTGCAATGGACCAGTTAGTGTGAGATTACAGCAGAGTCAGCTCTAAGCCTAAATATATGGAGTCATTTTTTTTTTTACTTATGAAGTTCAATCTGAAATCTAATGACATAGTTTATTATATAGTTGAATCCAAGTAGTTGGAATAAAATCTCTACATTAAATCGAGTGATTTCTAACCTAATTAAAACAGCTACATCAAATATTTTGTTTTAAATCTGGCAATGACATGGTTAAATTGGATTGATATGTGCATTGAAACGTCACCAGGTGACGTTAAATCTAAAGATTTAGAATAGAATCTTAGCTTACAAAATTAAATCAAAACATTTAGAATCCAAATATGTAATATCAGATCTTAAATGACATAATTTAAGTACAATTTTGATTCAAATCAACATAAACAAATTTTATCTAAATGTTGAAACCATTTGAAATTAATGATTTAGCTAACCTGCAACATGTGTGAGGTAATTCCACTCAAACCCTGATCTTTTGTAACATTTCTGTTTGTTCGCGCATATTTTTGTTTTTGCGACAGGCAGAAGATCCCACCAAAGCTATAGAAGAAGCCAAGGCTCTGACCACCCAGGCTTTAGCCAGCGTCACTTATCAGATCAACCGCGTGGCCAGCACTGTGCTCAAGCTGCTGGACTCTCAGGCCATGCAGATCAAAGGCATGGAGTCTTCTGTCAACCTGCTGTCACTGGTGAGGAAAACGATGCGGAACAACACACATAGTCTAATGATGGTAGTAAACACCCAGTGAAGAAGAATGCTCACTGGGCAAAAAAACACATTTAAGGAGCAAAAAGGATCTAAAGTTTGTCAGACTGAAGGCTGATTTTACATAAACCTCCTGAACTCGCTGAAGCGTGAGTTAGAAAAAAGGATAACGTGTCAATAAATCACTGCCATTCATAAGTGATGAGAACAGCTATTGCAGCTTTTGGTTTTTGACCCAGAGCTGCAGGTGGACTCTCACATTAGCCAGGTGGTTAGATCCTGCTTTCTCCAGCTTCGCCGGCTATCAAAGATGAAGTCTATCCTGACTAGACGCGACCTGCACACAGTGATCCATGCATTTGTGATCTCTCGTTTGGATTATGATAATTCCCTTTTTTATGGATCCACATCTCCCTCGGTTGCGCGCCTACAGCTGGTGCAGAATGCGGCAGCCTGCCTTTTGACGGACACCAGACGGAGGGAGCACATTACTCCTGTTCTGTCCCAGCTGCACTGGCTCGCGGTGCGCTACCGCATCCAGTTTAAAATTTTACTTCTTGTTTTTAAGTCACTCTATCTTTATGCGACTCTGTACGTGACTCAGCTGGTTCAGCCCTACGTACCTGGTCGAATTCTTCGATCAGCAGACCACCGCCTGTTAAGTGTTAGGGTGAGGGCACGAGGAGAACGAGTGTTCTCAATCTGTGCGCCTCGTCTCTGGAACCAACTCCTTCTAGCAGTGAGAATAGCCCCCTCTCTCGCTGATTTCAAATCACGCCTGAAGGCTCATTTTTATTCCTTGGCGTTTACTTCAGCCTAGTTAGCATTGTACTATGTCTCTGTTTTATTTTTTTATAGTAGTTACTGTACTACATTTATTACTTTCTTCCCATGTGTTGATTTTTATGCTCTTTTATTGTGCATCACTTTGGTTGACCTCAACAGTGTAGAAATGTGCTTTATAAATAAAATAGAAATGGAAATTACTGTTGTGAATGAACCAAACACAGTGTTGTAATTGGGGTGAATAATTGGTTAGACTAAGTTAGTTCTATCAAACTTTTGGGATTTAATAGTTTTGCTCAATGTGAATATTTGTTATCAAAAACCAAATTCTGATGATATTGTCTAATTTAACAAAAGACAATAAAACAAAATAAAATTTCTAAGTGTTTAGCTCTACTAAATACATCTTGCAGCATAATTACATATGCAGATTTAACAAAATGTAATTCTTACAGAACAGAACTAACGCTGCTATTGGTGCGTTATACATTCAACTTATTCTATTCTAATTATTTCATGTTACTCTTTTATTTAGTTTTCATTCAAAGGATACACTTTACTTTTTATATTTTAGGGAAACATTTTTCCATTTTTTATTGTTTGACATTCAGTTTATCAACTAAAACCAATGCAACAGTATTCATTATTTCAAATGTATAAAAACATTCTTCTTAAAAAGTTCAAATACACAAAACTCTGGTACCCTGAGTGCAAAACGTATTTAGATTTTTAGAAATGAACGTAAAAGTACAAAATTATACAGATATGATCATCTGATGCCTGACAATGTTACCCAGACATGAATACGTAGACGCCCCATTGGTCTCTGGAGAGTGTAACAGCGCCGCTGCCATATTGGATGGGTCTCCTCAGTCTCCAAAGTCAATGCTTTGTAGAAATGAATCCTGGGGAGGCGAATGGAGACCCATCTAAGATGGCGGCCGGCCATGACCGCAGCTCCAATAGGCAGCACCAGTCAACAAGGCGTCTACATACATGTCTGTGATGTCACCATAGTGTGACTGTGATTTTACTAGCAGACTGATTACTTACTCCACACCACCGACTCTCCTGTAGCATACGTTTTTTCCCAGCTTGTGTGTCCTCGTCCCTCTCTCTGTGAAATCAGATGTCTTGCTCCTAACTCTTGGTGCGCTCTGGTCCAGGCTGCAGCGATCCACCTTGACAAAGTGGCCCGGAGGGAGATCGGCATCTTTACCACTCCCAAACCCAAGACTTGTTCTGCACCTATGGTCTCGCTGGATTCAGGCGTGGAACCAGAGCAAGGCTACATCAGAGTGCCCATCTCCTACTCCATCCTGGACTCCATCGGACACTCCTTTGAGGTGATGTGGTTTAGATCAGCAGCTGTAACAAGGATTATATTTCTGTGTCATCAGCGTAGACGTGTGATGTTTGTCTTCTTCATCTGACCCTCACAGGTGGTGGAGCAGCAGCCTGTAAAGGCCTCAGAAGAGCACACAAAGAGAGTTGCAGAAATCTCTGTGTATGTTTTTATCTCTAGCGTCATTCTGTTTCACAGAAACGTTTTAATGACATGAAGCTGAAGAGTTGATGACATCATATTTAAGACACACCCATTTCTCAGTCTATGCTTGTTGTTGTTTACAGAACCAGTCACGGCATCGCTGTTCCTCCACCCTCAGTCCCCACCCTTCCCACTAAACCCACAGACAATAGTCTGCCTCCTCCTCCTGCTGCTCCTGCTTCTTCACCTTCCTTGTTGGACACTAGCCTCCCCCCTCCACCTGCATTACCCTCAGATCTCCCCCCACCTCCCCTTTTACCAAGCAGTTCATCAAACAGCAGCTACCCACTTCCACCGCCTCCACCTCCATTGGCAGCTGGAGGTTTCTCTACCCCTCCTCCTCCACCTCCTTTCATGTCAGAAGCTTCAACCCTTCCTCCACCTCCTCCACCACCTCCTCTCATGTCAGGAGCTACAACCGTTCCACCACCTCCACCACCTCCTCTCATGTCAGGAGCTACAACCGTTCCACCACCTCCACCACCTCCTCTCATGTCAGGAGCTGCAACCCTTCCTCCACCTCCACCACCTCCTCCTCCTCTCACGTCAGGAGCTGCAACCATTCCTCCACCTCCTCCACCACCTCTTCTCATGTCAGGAGCTGCAACCCTTCCTCCACCTCCTCCACCACCTCCTCTTATGTCAGGAGCTGCATGCATTCCTCCACCTCCTCCACCTCCTCCCCTCATGTCAGGAGCTGCATGCATTCCTCCACCCCCTCCACCACCTCCTCTTATGTCAGGAGCATGCATTCCTCCACCTCCTCCACCACCTCCCCTCATGTCAGGAGCTGCATGCATTCCCCCACCTCCTCCACCACCTCCTTTCATGTCAAGAGCTGCAACCCTTCCTCCGCCTCCTTCTCCAACAGCTGCTTTCGTGCCACCCCCTCCACCCCTTTCACGGTTCTCCTAGACAGTCCTGGATTTTGTTCATTCATAAAACAATCCGAAAGGATTAAATCCACATTCTGAAGAGTGTGTGTGCAGACCTCATCTGTTTCATCTGCATTTAGCATACATCATGTGTCTGAACGATGCTTCTCTAAGATAAAACTTGTCTCCTTAAGCGTTGTGTTAATTCTAGGAGCTGCAGGAGGGTTTGGTCCAACGTGTCCCAGCAACGCCTCCACCACATTCCTCTAAAACAAGCTGAAACATGAAATTTGCTGTTTCTGTCAGAATCTTTTCTTTTTTTATGTAACACTTTATTTGTTATGTGTGAGCAGCATTTCACCAATGTCTCCTAATCAGTCAGTCCCATTAAAAACCAGTGACACCAGCATTCCCCTCTCTGTGGAGCGAGCAGCTTGAGTCATGTGTGTTGTTGGCGTCTCCGCCTCACAGAGCTCTGCGTCTTTAAACAAGGCACTTAATGTGTAATCTGTCTGTTGCAAGTCAACACATTACTCAACCTGCATCACATGGCTCTTAGTTGAAGGTAAGATTGTTTTTAAGCTTGGAAATGATCCGATTGGGCAAAAGATTTAATCATCTACTGCACTGTTGGATCATTTCAAAGTAAAAGCACACAGTGATCATTAAGCCATATATTTATCTGAAATTAAAAGGAAAAGTTCTGGGTACTTATAATAACCTAATAATAAATATTAATACATAATTAAATCAAATTATCTACCTTGCTTATTTAGCTTTTATCCAAGCATTTTGAATACTCAAATATTTGGGGCAGCCGTAGCTCAGGAGGTAGAGTGGGTTGCCCCTTAATTGGAGGGTCATGGGTTTGATTCCAGCTCCTGCCTGGGGTATTCTGCTGTTGTGTCCTTGGGCAAGACACTTCACCCAACTTGCCTGTTTTGGTGGTGGTCAGAGGGGCCGTCGGTGCCAAATGGCAGCCTCGCCTCTATCAGACAGCCCCAGGGCGGCTGTGGCTACAAAGTAGCTTACCATCACTGGCAGTGTGTGAAAGCGTCTTTGAGTGTCCTAAAAAGCGCTATATAAGTTCAATGCGTTATCATTATTATTCTCACTGTTGGACAAAAAGCTGGAAAAATATATATTTATTAAAGCGGCCAAATCATGGAAAATCCCCTTTTTGGAGCTTTTTATCATGTGATATTGTTATTTTCTCTATAAAATGTTTTTGGTCAACACTTTAGTTTAGGGAACACAAATCAACCATTAATTTGTGTTCAGACTTAGTAGTCCACTAATATGCATATTAATTGGCAGCTAATGAATGGTTAATTTGTGTTCCCTAAACTAAAGTGTTACCAATATTTTTTTTCTGGGCTGCATTAATGCATTTCAGCAGCAAATTTTGAGTCTTACTTTGAAAATCCTGTAAAGCCTATTTGGAAACTCATCTTGTGATCAGGCCCTGCTCCTCTCCCAGAAGCTAGTGTCTGATCAGAAACCCATCTCCCTTGCCCAACACAGAATATGTAGCTTAAGCAACTGTTATAATGTTGTAGACATGGTAGTCCAGAGGTTAGAGTGCTGGGAATGTGGTTTAGTGCAGGTTCACATCCAAGTCCCAGCAGTTACCTGTTTTAGCTACACTTGCCATTATGATGTTTTTAACACTTTTTTGGTAAACTGTTTAAAATGTAAGGACTAATCTTTTTTTAATTTTATTTTTTTATTTTCTTTGTTTAGCCAGTGTGAGTCCATGTGAGGTGAGCAGAGTAAATCAACTAAAATGCTGCTTGGAAACGACCAAATTCAACGATCTAAGAGATTCAAAATATTCTGCAAAAAATAAGTAATAAAACTGAAATATAAAAACATGAAATCTGCTTCAGTTGGCTAAACTAATTATTGCTGACATCGGTATTTGAACCCACATGAGCTCATGGCAAAAGTGAAAAGGCAGTTAACACCTTAACAACTGGACTACCTCAAATAATGCAGCACTTGGCTCATCTAAGACAGTCTTGTAGACGCATTTTGTCTGAACAGGTGGCAAAGTTTCACTAAAAGTGTTTTATTTTCAGGTATAAATTCAGGCTGATGAAAATAACTCAAATTTAAGATAAATGACATCTCAATAGTGGTATTGGTAATATTTCATCATATACTGTGCCTACCTTTGCTCTCAGAGGTTTAAAATAGCATGATATGGAAACTTTAAAGGGAATATAGTGACATAAACTGATTTCAGCAGTTTAATTCTCAACAGTTTCAGTACCTTCCAGAATGAGTCATTTCAGGACTCTGTCACTTTAAGAAAACAAGCTGGAGGTGGTGGATTATGATGATCTGATCTCTAATTTTCTGATAAATTCTGTTGGTTTATTTTCTAAGCAGAGGGACTGTCTTATCTCCATTTTCTGAATTTTGCAGAAAATCACATTGATGGGTCTTTTTTCAGAAGATTTCAACAAATTATTGTCATAACACTCATCTGAAGGATTATTAGGAACACCATATTAATACAGTGTTCAATCCCCTTTCGTCTTCAGAACTGCCTTAATACTAAGTGGCATTGATTCAACAAGGTGCTGAAGGCATTCTTTATAAATGTTGGCCCATATTGATAGGATAGCATCTTCCAGTTGGAGATTTGTGGGATGCACATCCAGGGCACGAAGCTCCCGTTCCACCACATCCCAAAGATGCTCTATCGAGTTGAGATCTGGTGACTGTGGGGACAATTGTAGTACAGTGAACTCATTGTCATGTTCAAGAAACCAATTTGAAATCATTCGAGTTTTATGGCATGGTGCATTATCCTGCTGGAAGTAGCCATCAGAGGATGGGTACATGGTGGACATGAAGGGATGGACATGGTCAGAAACAATGCTCAGGTAGCCCGTGGCACTAAAGGGGCTAAAGTGTGCCAAGAAAACATCCCCCACACCATTACACCACCACCACCAGTCTGCACAGTGATAACAAGGCATGATGGATCCACGTTCTGTTTACGCCAAATTCTGACTCTACCGTTTGAATGTCTCAACAGAAATCGAGACTCATCGGACCAGGCAACATTTTTCCAGTCATCAACTTTCCAATTTTGGTGAGCTCGTGCAAACTGTAGCCTCTTTTTCCTATTTGTAGTGAAAATAAGTGGTACTCATCGACATATATACTGGACAATTCGTGTCCATAGACTTCAATTATAAGTTTTAGTGCCAAAATGGGAGGTTCCCACCACCGTCATTTTGACCGTGTCACAGGTTCCGTCAAGCCCAGACAATTACAAAAAAGGGAAAAGAGGTGGAGCTGAGGGTGGGGCTGTAAGGCTGGGATCAAATGACGACACCCGTCGAACTGAACCCATGTAGCTACAAGCTAACCCAAAGCTAACGCGGAGGTGGGAGCTAAGCTAACACAGGTAGCTACCTAGCTACAACCGGAGTTACGCTGAGGACACACTAGCCCCCAAACCGCCGCAAAGCGCCGGAAGGCAAAGCGCTCACGAAATTCGGCCGCTGCCCGCTGCTCCTCAGTTCAGACCAGACGCTTGTTTCTCCGCTCCGGTCGAGGCGCGCCTCGGCTCAGCGGTAGTTTTTCTTTTAACCACTTAGTGTCCTCTATTTCCTCTCTGCCTTTTCTCTGCTCTTTTCCTCTACACCCCCCTCCCCCTTGCTGTTTGTGTGTGTTTGTCCACGTGTGTGTGTGCAGATGCCGAAACGATCACTGCACGGCGCAGGGCGCTTCACAGCCCTTCGGCAGCCCATGTGGTCTATAGAATAGAATAACAAGGGCGCCAAATGAAGGTGGTCCCCGTTTCGCAGCGCTTCGTGGCGCTTCGGCAGCCGGTGCGTCCCAGGCGTTAAAGTCGGAACCCAGCTCCACCAACATGTTACATTTCAACCCATTTTCAGAAATGCAGCGCTATGTCAAATGCACTGGGTTTTACCCTTTTACATTTAAATTTCATGGTTAAACAGTACATGTTCAAATTTAAGCTCAGCTAGTGCAAGAGCGGCAGTGACTTTAAATCATCAGCATAAATACATAAATATAATTTTACTTACCGAAAAATATGAAGTTGGGGACTTCTTGGATGCTCCTTTAGTGCAATTAAAACCACAGCAAGTCATTTTGTCCAACAATTGCACAAATAAAATCCAAAAAAGAATGCACAAACTTCACAACTAATGGTCTAAGTTGAGCGACTGAAAATCGCGGAACAGTTTTCAGGCGAGGCCGAGGCTCAGACTGAGGCCTTTCCTTCGAGCTAGCTTTGCGGTCACGTGGGTCTGATGCTAATTAATTATTCAGAATTTTAGGCTTTTAATACACTTAAACAGAAGAGTGACAAAAAAATCCGCCCTCCTCAGAGTTGTCATGAGTGTAAACTAGATCTATTAAACCTAAAGCATGTTTTGGAACCAGGCTGTGAACATGTTTATTTCTGCTGTGAAATTGGTATTTTCAGTGTAACATGATGAAGGAGCCATTTCTACCCTCTAACAGCGGTTTCCTTTTGACACAGTGTCAGTGTGCATGAAACAGCCTCAAGGTCATGCATTCGCTTCTAAACTGTTTACGTTCCAGCAATGAAGACAGAAGAATGAAGAATAAACTCTTTTCATTTAATTAATCTAAGAACTCTATTTTAATAAAGCTAATCCATCAAAGTGTTAGTCAATAATAAGATGTGACCGACCTGTGAAATTAAAATATTAATTACGTTATTATGAGAAATTAGAAAATAAGTCTGTGACGTTAAGGATTGCAACAGGACTCATTTCACGTAGTGTTAAAGAGACAAAACACATTATTTCACTGATCCAATCAGAATTTTACAGATCTGACGGAGGCGTGCTTCTGATTGTGTTTGGTAATTTTCATTCGACAATAAACCATAACATCCGAGGTATAAAACTACGCCACGTCAGCTCTAACGCCAGTTCAAAGCGTTCCAGAGAAAGTGACGGAGTGGCCAATCCTGACCTTTTACTCTTCAACCGAAAAAACCACGACAAGCTGAGAAATACAGTCGCTATAACAACCAGCTGCAACAACAACTCCTTTCAGAATAAAAGCTCCACCGACCCAGGCTTGGGTCTGACCAGACGCCAATAACGTGTCGCGTGCCGGGGGTAACTCAAAACGGGTCTGGTCGGAACCGCGGTTTCTTCTACCAGCTCGGTTTCCAAAGAGGGTCCGCTGGGCCTCGGCATTCCTGATCTACAAGAGGACTTCCACAAGGCAGGTAGACCTGGCTTGATGGTGTCTCATGCGGTTCTGAAACTAACCCAAGCTTATTTCAAAACAACATCTTCAGTTCCCGTCAGAACTAATCGCTTCTTTGGATTTGCTGCGTCTGATTTACATGACACGTCATCCATTCACCGTCTCATCCATTTTTAGCTACACTATACACTTAGTTCTGAAGTCAGCCTATTTGTTAGTAATAAAATTCTTAACTTTTAAACTTAACTCTCTCTATTCTGTTGTCTCTGAGTGAATACATAACGGTTACATAATCTCTGCATTAAAAAGATCCGATCTTCTGGTTTAACTAACCCACCAAACCGTAAGGTGGATTTCATATTTACTATGGAATCCCACGCCTTAAGGCTCATTAAATAAAATGTAAGAACCTCTCAATTTCCTTACATTAACACAGGAGTCAATGAGGATTTGCTCGCTTCTGACACCAGCCCCCAGCGGATGAGGGTGGAACTGCAATTTTTGTCACTTCCGTGTTGGATTCATTTTCATACCAGTATTATGGGGGCTTGGTGGTACCCGGTGGGGTCTTCTGCTGTTGTAGCCCATCCACCTCAAGGTTGTGTGTGTTGTGGCTTCACAAATGCTTTGCTGCATTCCTCGGTTGTAACGATTGGTTATTTCAGTCAAAGTTGCTCTCCTATCTGCTTGACTCAGTCGGCCCATTCACCTCTGACCTCTAGCATCAACAAGGCATTTTTGCCCACAGGACTGTCGCATACTGAATTGTTTCCATTTCACACCATTCTTTGTTAACCCTAGAAATGGTTGTGTGAAAATCCCAGTGACTGAGCAGATTGTGAAATACTCAGACCGGCCCGTCTGGCACCAACAACCATGCCGAGCTCAAAATTGCTTAAATCACCTTTCTTTCTAATTCTGACGTTCAGTTTGGAGTTCAGGAGATTGTCTTGACCAGGACCACACTCCTAAATGCATTGAAGCAACTGCCATGTGATTGGTTGATTAAATAATTGCATTAAGAAGAAGCTGAACGGAGTTCCTAATAATCCTTTAGATGAGTGTATATATAATATGTAAAGGTCAGAGGTCACTACGAAACCCAATTTTAAATAGATACAAATGTGAGGCCCGCAAGGACATTGTGAGACTCTCACGCCTGCCTGTTGGGTTAGCTACAAAGTTAGATGTAAACACTAAAACTGTTGTGGTCTTTTAATGTTTAACAAATGACTAAGAATTTCCTCTGAACTTAGGATAGCACACACCTCCTTTGACACATTTTTCTCTTTTGACTAAACAGTCCTTCGTCACAGGACTTCTGAGTAATGTTTTGGGTGACGAACAGCTGAGTTTGTTGCCATTTTGTCAACAAAACCGTCTGAAGAGGATCAGAGAGCTTACTGGATTGGCCAACATCCCTCCAGTCCACATAAGGAGTAGCATCAGGAATAAATGAGGAATATTTTCTACTTTTGACAGAGAACTTCCAACAAACAGCAAGAAAAGTGAGTCTACCGTCTCCATTCATAACTTCAATGCAGCTTTTTACCTTGTTGTTTAAGTCTGATGGTGAAAATGTAGAAATGTCATCAAATTCTAGCTAAACCCAAGTAAACTTATTGTCATCCATTAAAACATTAGAGGGTTTAGACAAATAAAACTTCATTTTGCTGTTAAATAACTTTAAAATGAGAACAAATACACACTCACTGGCCACTTTATTGGGCACACCTTGCTAGTACTGTGCTGGACCCCCTTTTATTTCAGAACTGCCTTAATCCTTCGTGGCATAGATTAAACAAGGTACTGGGAACTTTCCTCAGAGATTTTGGTCCATATTGACATGATAGCATCACACAGTTGCTGCAGATCTGTCGGCTGCACATCCATGATGCAAATCTCCCGTACCACCACACCCCAAAAGAGCTCTGTTGGATTCAGATCTGGTGACTGTGGAGGCCATCTGACTACAGAGACCTCATTGTTATATTCTAGAAACCAGTCTGAGATGATTCGAGCTTTATGACATGGCTCGTTATCCTGCTGGAAGATGGGCACACTGTGGTCATCAAATAATGGATATGGTCAGCAACTACACTCAGGTAAGTTGTAGCATTGTAATGATGATCAATCAGTACTAAGGGGCCAAAAGTGTGCCAAGAAAATATCCCCCACACCACTCCACCACCACCAGCCTGAACTATTGATACAAGGCAGGATGGATCCATGCTTTCATGGCCATGTTCATGGGTATGACCAAATTCTGACCATACCATCTGAATGCAGCAGCAGAAATCGAGACTCATCAGACAGGCAACATTTTTCCAATCTTCTATTGTCCAATTGTGGTGATCCTGCATGAATTGTAGCCTCAGTTTCCTGTTCTTAGCTGAAAGGAGTGGCACCCAGTGTGGTCTTCTGCTGCTGTAGCTCATCTGCCTCTAGCTTCAATGTCTTATGTGTTCGGAGATGTTCTTCCTCAAATCTTGGTTATAATGAATGGTTGTTTGAGTTATTGTTGCCTTTCTGTCAACTCAAACCAGTCCGGCCATTCTCCGCTGACCTCTGGCTCAAGGCATTTTGCCCACAGAACTGCCGCTCACTGGATGATTTCCCTTTTTCAGACCATTCTCTGTAAACCCTAGAGATGGTTGTGTGTGACAATCCCAGAAGATCAGCTGTTTCTGAAATACTCAGACCAGCTCATCTGGCACCAACAACCATGCCACGTTCAGCATCACTTAAATCACCTTTCTTCCCCATTCTGAAACTCGGTTTGAAATGCATTGGATCATCTTGACCATGTAAACATGCCTAAATGCATTGAGTTGCTACCATGTGATCAGCTGATTAATCTTTTTTGTTAACAAGCAGTTGGACAGGTGTGCCCAATAAACAGTGATTGAGTATAACAGGAAACTGTTTTCATTAATTGCAGCACTAATCTAGCCTGGCAAGCCAGACTAAATAAATGTATTATTTAGTCTGGCCACGCTCTATTGACGGCTCTCGGTTGTGGGGCGGGTTCTACCGTTGTCTTTCAAATGATCTCCGCATTCCACTGGACAATGAATGTGACATACTCTTGTTTCACTCTGTTGCATCATCCCACCCACCAGGCATATAGAGTGCCCTGATTAGCCCACAAAGCGGATAAAGCTCTGTGATTTGTTCACTAAGCAGATAGAGCACTATGATTGGCCCACCATTATGGACCAATCACAGCTCTTTATGTGTTTGAAACCCCTCTAGAGAGTTGTGATTGGCTAGCCAGAGTCCTGGTAGGAGCTGCTGAGGTTCCAATGGAGCATGCCAAGACCATTCTTTGCAAAGCAAGAATTTGGTCTAGTTCACTAGGCTAGCACTAATCAGTTCTGACAAGATCTGATTATTTCTCAGACATAAACGGTTCTATTTGAGCCCATGGAAGGAACCTTTTAACGAGGTTGTGTGAATCTTAGGCCTAGTCCACACGTAGCCGGGGTTTTATGAAAACGAATATCCGCCCCTCCAAAAACTTGCATCCACACCACCGCGTTTTAAAAACAAACTCTGTCCACACGTACCCGGATGAATACGTTGTTAAGGACATACCAGACCTGTAGGCGGCAGTACTTCCCCCGTTCTTAACCTCGTCCTTCGTCTGTGGTCTTCCGCAAGGAGCAGTAATTCCGCTTGCAAAAACAAACAAGCAAAAAGCGCTTGGACAATTGATGGATCGGGTAGTGACAGAGCGCAGCTCTGAGGGCTTCCATGATGCCGGCTAGTGTAAACACAGATCGCACACGTGATGTCAGCATTTTTTTTGTCGCGGAAAGTGACGTTGCGGACCTTAAAACTCCGGTTTTGTCCGTCCACACGCAGACACCCAAAACGGAGACAACGCAGATCTTCACTTTGGCCGGAGTTTTTAAAAAGATCCGTTTTTGTGTGAAAAAACTCCGTTTTCGTGTGGATGACAGGCCAAAACGTAGAAACATTTCTACGTTTTGGCAGATCCCCGGCTACGTGTGGACAGGGCCTTAATGTAACTTTACTTTGTGCAGCTTTGTTGTGATGTTTACATCATCCACACTAAGATCATTGTTTTGGCAAGAGTAGGAAGGAAGACAGAAAGATCCAGCTTGTTCTTATTTCACAGGAAATTTGTAGAAAATTATATATATATTTTTCCCCCCAGAAAAGGAAAGTGTAGCTTAACCTAGTATTCGATTTATGATTATACATAACTAATCTGTTCTATCTTGTATCAGTGTGACATCTTTTTCAGCTACAGTGTTAACACACACCTACAAATGTAATAAAATAAAAACCTCCATCTGGGATTGATAAAGTATTTAAATTAATTGAATTTAAAATGACACAAGTTTTGTTTTTGTGCAAAAAAAAGAAGATTTTTTTTAATTAAAAATAAATAAAGATAGGTTAAATAAATTAGGTATAGCCATGTTTAAATTAAACAAACTATATCTGATACTTTATATAATAAACTAATTATTAAAGGCAAATAATAAAACAAATAATAAAAATATTTGAATATCTATATTTCATTGTTTCATTCACTGAAGAAATACAACTGAACTCTGAAATGTTCTATTGGAATTAACACAAATGCATACTGTTAGAATTCATACTTAACAGGTAAAAAATTAGAATATTGTGCAAAAGTTTATTTATGTCACTAATTATAACTAAAGGATGAAACTAACATAAGGGATAGACTTGTTACATGCAAAACCAGGTATTTCAAGCCTTTATTTGTAATATTTGTGATTATCATGGCTTACAGTTTATGAAAACCCCACATTCATAATCTCAGATGATTTTGTGAAAAGGTTCAATATTCTAGACTCAAAGTGTCACTCTAACCAGTTCATGGAACCAGACACCTGCAAAGAGTTCCTGAGCCTTTAGATTGTGTCTCAGTTTAAGCTGGATTACTGACGTAAATGGACTTTTGCACCATATTCATTAAACATGTACGGTAAAACTAGATCATTTATTGATGTGTGACAAACATAAAACACACGTCTGTTTCTGTGTCTTTAAACACCACAGTCATGCCATAAAAGCTCCTCACTTCCACGAGTCACACAGCGAGCCACGAGCCAGGACACTTTTAGGTTTGTAACACGGTAAGAACCACATCTCTGTAAACGAATGAGTTGTTTTTCCACATTTCTCTGAAATGACTGTGGTAAAATCACGAGAACCAGTCTGACTTTTTTTATTTCCAGCCGAAATAAACAACAGATTTATAAGATGAAAGATCACTATACATTGTTACAGTGTGTGAACATTACTATCCTTTACACCGCTGATGAAACACTGAAGCATTACTTGTTTTGTAAAACTCAATGTTTCTTAAAAATATTGCAACAACACAAGTGAAACGTTATGGGGTCACTAGAGATCATTACCCTGTGACTGTTCAAGGGGCTTTCATATAAAAAGCTGCACTTTATTACACCCTGTGACTATAAATTTGGTTTCTGCTCTTATAGTGCTGCACGTCTGGCTCATATTTAACAAAAAACTACCAATAAAGGCTGTAAATTGTATAAATCTCAGTGATACAAAGTTTGTGCTTCAGGTTTTTGTCATTTACAGATTTTAGTTATTTTTAAAGGTGTGGTTTACTCATTTATTCAATACATTTGCAGTGCTTGTGCAGAGTTGGGCTGAAAACAGCAGGATTACTCATTCTTATTAATGATATGCACGCACCTCGCTTCTGATTGCCTAACAGAACGTGTTCAGCCATGTAAGTCGCTATCACCAAGACACTTCTTTCCTCGCTGCAAAAACAACTTTTAAAAAGCCTTCCTGTGGGCGGGTTAGGGCCAAGATGGGCGTGGCCATTAATGCAAATTCACAGTGTGACATAGATACGTGAGGATTTTCAAATCCTAGCATTTCACTGTCAGAAGCTAATGCCAGAGATAGGTGTAGGACACTGTTTTCATATTCAGTCTTCATGAAAAACTCAGAGTGACCGATTATAATCAGAAATAATCATAAAAATGTTTTTTCAGTCAACCACACCTTTAAAACCCTTCTAATGCTCAACGGTGAATGCTATTCTTGTGTTTTTACAGTAATGCCAGCAACTCCAGCTATGACCGAAATACAGAATATCATTCAAATAGTGTAAGTTATTAAATCAAGTGTCCAAAATAACTCTTCTTCTATCGGAAGGTCCCTTTAGATGTTCAACTGGATTTTAAAATGTGTCCCTATAGATTTCCCGTCCTGGTGATCGTTGTTGCTTCCATTCTGCTCTGCTTCTACCTTCTGTTGAAAAAGAAAAGAGAACAATGTGACACCAACAGATCGATGCAGGTCCAAGCTATTTCCCCATCAGGGTATCGGGTGGAGGAGGACACGCACTTTGACCCGTTCCCTCCTCGTTACAGCATTGTGGTTTGCCCACCACCATACGCAATGGTGAGGAAACACACTTCCTACTCAGCCAATCATCACGTCTCCTTTGTTTAGCTTTAAAATATGTGCTCGGATTTTTTACATTAAGTCGGAGCACTAAGGTGTCCCAAGCCTTGGAGTCAGTACATTCCAGGACTCTAGATGGTGCTATATAAAAACAGTTTATTAGTCTTTTCACCATTTATCTCTGTGTAGGTTGCTGGTTCAAATCCCAGCAGTGATTTTTCTACATGTAAATGGTAAAGAGCCTGTATTTGTATAGCTTCTATACCTTCTTAGGGTTCTACAACCCCCCCAAGGTGCTTTACAACACAGTCATCCACCCTTTTAGTTTTTTTGTTATTCTTCATCACACACAGAGCAAAAAGAGTTTGTTCCTACCATGGCTGACATGTTTTGACGTCTACTGCCACCTTCGTCAGAGCAACCGCCGACGTTTGGTGGGCAGCCGAGAGTAGCAGAGGACAACATTGCCTTCTACTGCTTGCACCTTCGTTGATGACCATGTCCCATGAGTGGTCCAACGTGTATACTCCTTCGTCCCTGTTCCTGTGTGCACGTCTTCTTATCTCAATCGCTTCATCGGCGTTTGCTCTGATGAAAGCAGCAGTAGATGCTGGAACATGTCAGCAAAGGTTAAAACGAGCTCTTTTTGTTCTTTGTAGGCGGATAAAAAACACAGAACAAAAGTACGAAGGTAACAAGACTCCCCAAGGTGCTTCACAACACAATCAGTCCATCCATTCACACAGTGATGGTGATGAGCTACAATGTAGCTACAGCTGCCCTGGGGTGCACTGATGGAAGTGAGACTGCTGAAAACTAGCACCACCAGCAGGCAAGGGTGAAGTGTCTTGCCCATGTGTGTGTGTGTGTGTGTGTGTATTTGCGCGCGCGCACGTGTGTGAAGCCCTGGATCTTTTTCAGTCCTAAATCCACCCCTGACATGGACTAGCGCTCCATTAAAGAGGATAAAGCTGTGCAGGTAATAGATGGATCATTGGCAACCTGGAGGATTTGACAAGACAAATAAGTTAGTTTTCATAGATACAGATGGATTTAAAACAAGAGAGAAAGAAAACATTGTCTCCCTCTATCAAATCGGGTTAAAGACTTACTGAAGACAAACAAACCAAAGGCTTCTAAAGCAGGACAATGTAGAAACCCCCTGGAGAGACCCAAAACTCACTGTTCTGCTACATCCTATTAAGGCTGGTTGACCTTGCATGCTCCTGCCAAGAATAATGGGATAAACATCTAAAGAAAGGATGTGCCAAGCTTGTAAGATGGTTCCTGAGAGGCCATGGAGCTAAAGGAGGCTGTAGCCCAGCGCAGAGCAAATAACCTTTTGTCTCAGGAATCATTCAAATTAAAGTAAAGCGCAACAATCAGTTTTCTTTAATCATTAGTGAAGGTGTAGCCCATGGGTAATCACTTCTGGGCCTGGAGGGCCAGCATCCAGCACTTTTTAGTTTTAACCCTGTTTCAACACATTTGAGTTCAATCAGCAGGTGATTAACAGGCTTCTGCAGAGGCTGGTGCACGGGTGATTCAACCACTGAATCAAGTGTGCTGGAGCAGAGAAACCACTAAAACGTGCTGAATTTGAGGTTCATCCCTCAGGTCTAGAGGTCATCCCTCAGGTCTATGTCTGATTATGTCATAGAGAACAGTTTAGCTGTTGATGGAGTATTGACAAAGTCTCCAAAGATCTAATTTAAAGAATCATAAAACACTAATATTTTGGTCCAGAAGGCGTCTAACAGACTGCTGATTACCTCTGATCCTTCTACTCACCCAGTTTGACCCAAAGCTGACAAACGTCTGGCCTGGAGGCCCCCCTCCTCCCTACGAGATGTACCCGATAACCCTTCCCCTGGCACCTCACTGGATGACTCCAGCAGAACCTCTACAGCTGACCCGTCCAGCCTCACCCCAGCAGAACCCTCCCCCCACTCCCCAGCGGTACCACAGAGCATCTGTTGGCTAAAAAGCTCAGTTTCCTTGTCAAGACTCCTTGTTTCATTATTTATTACACTGTGACTTTAAAGAGCAAGTCACCCCCAAATCAACTTTTTTGCTTATAAACTATATAATTGAGTGTCTAATCGTGCTGTAGACATGTGTGGTCAATAATTTGGCACTTTAGTTAAAATTTTAATATTCTGCCCAAGTTGCTGTTAGAGTTGCGCCCTCTTCAGGTAAAACCTCTGCACTACATTTGAATTTACATCTGCCATCGCTATTGGCTAAGAGGTACTCGATTACGTTAGCCGGTACCATATGATGTCTCAATGCCGTTATGAGCCTGTGTGTGTGTATTTGTTAGAAGCTCCGCCCCCTCGGTCTTCCAGGCAACACTTCATTGTTGCACATATTTCAAAAAGGGAAATGGGAGGAGTTACATTCTGGTAGGGGGTGACTTGCTCTTTAATTCATAATTAATCAACATTAAAAACTAAAACAATGTAAAAACTATTTAATACATTTGTTTTATATAAAGATCAGACTACAATGTAGCATCTACACACCAGCAGAATCACCTTTATGTTATATTATACACTCTTTATTACAATACAGTACTTTACAAGTTTAACAAAAAGATGAAATAAATACTCAAGATGTGGCCAAAACGTTTTGTCTTTACTCTTTTTCTAATCAATAGAAAATAAATGTTTCATAACAGAAAAAAACTTAAATCATTTCCTTGGCTTTATAACTATTTAAGGCAAAATTAACCATGAATTTGAAGCCACTTGTTTTAATGTTTGTACATCCAAAAAACAAATCAAAACTTCCACTAATTGTCCAATAAGTAATGCTAAGGTTATATGTTACCCTTCAATATACGATGCATACACTAGTCTAGGCTACTTGGGATATGTCTTATTTTTTAGGGTTTAAATGTCAACAGTGCTACAAATAAAACTCCAACAGAATCAAGCAGGCAGTAGTGAAACACAGTGATCCTTTGGCTGGATTCTCAAATGAATCAAAGCTTTTCTGGTACAGGACAGAGAAATAAACCCATGATGAACAGAAAACCTCTCAGCTGGAGCATCTGTCCTCCCCTTTGTGTTTGTGTGTACATTGGAGTGTGTGGTATTGCATGTATATTAATTAATCGTCTATTGCTATTTCATGTTCAAATCAAAGTAGACATTGGAGATTAAGCACATTTCTGAACTTGTGAAATGGTAAAATGTTGACATTTGGTATCTTTCCTCAAGTTTTCCTACTGATGGATGTAAACATTACACTACATAAATAAGATTTAGAAAGGCTAAAACTGTCCTTCTACAAAAACCTTCACTGTTACTTGTTACGACGACACACACGCACACGCTCGCACACACACACACACACACACGCTTGCACTACTGAACTGCAGCCCATAATCACCTCTAAATCCTTCTGAACAAACATCAATAAAAGAATTCCAAAGAAATTACAGTTGGGCCAACAGGGAATGCTAAGTTTGTACAAAATTGCTCTACATGAGGCTGGTCGTTTGCACTGAATTATGACGCTCAGCTCCCCCACCCCCGCTCTCTCCCTCTGGAGCCACAGATCATAAAATGTCCTCCGGCTCTGATCCAGATGTTCAGAACACCCAGCTGACAGGGACCCACTGATGCTCCGTTGACAGTTTTTCCAGTGCCAAGCGTAGACTTCGGAAAGCCGCTTCAAGACCGTCGTTCACAATGAAAAGATCAAAGTAATGTCCGTAGGCTCTCTTGATGCGCTCGCTCTCGTCCACCGTCCTCTTCAGCTCAGAGTCCTGGCAGGAGCAGGGTACAAAAGGACTTTAGGACACAAATTCAGCTGAAATAAAAAAAGTGGAACATAAAAAGTTATCTAAATACTACCTTCTTATAGAAATTTATTAGCACTGACAACCAGTTCTAGTTTTTCAACTGACAAAACTCATTTCCTAAAAGCATTTCAATAGTTCTTAAATTTGAAGCCAATTTCAAAAGAATGAGATCGCCCATACAAGTGGCTGAAAGGAGTTTTCGTCGCAGGGTGTCTGGAGTTTCCCTTACAGAGAGGGTGAGAGGCTCGGTCATCCGGGAGGGGATTGGAGTAGACCCGCTGCTCCTCCACGTCCAGAGGAGCCAGTTGAGGTGGCTCGGGCATCTAGTTAGGATGCCTCCTAACTAGAAGTCCTCCCTGGTGAGGTTATCTGGACACATCCCACCAGTAGAAGACCTAAAGGAAGACTCAGGACACACTGGGGACTATCGGCTGGCCAGGGTACATCTTGGGATTCCCCCCCGGAGGAGTTGCGCCAACTGGCTGGGGAAAGGGAAGTCTGGGTGTCCCTGCTTAAGCTGCTGCCCCCGCAACCAGACTCTGGATAAGCAGCTGAAAATGGATGGGTGGATGGAAAGCACGTGATGAGGAGGCTTTCTTTCCGTTTCATTTACTGCCTTAAGCCTAATTTATACTTTGTCTGCGTCGGTACGGAGGCAAGCAATGCCAAGAGGTGGAGGAGGATGAAGGACAAAATTGTCCATGTTAAAAAGTCTCTTAAATGCAAAAACACAATATAAACACACCATCTTGGACCAGATACATGACGGGATACTGCAGAACAGCGCAATGCCCTCTGTTGTTCTGGGAGGAAATTGCTTTGCAACACTCCCCAGGAGACGGAGAAGTATGAGGGTACAATGTCTCCGTCTGTGTGTGCGTGTCTCTGCCTCGTGGAGCTGACGGTCAAGTATAAATTAGGCTTTACCTTTACGCAAGGGATCATGGGAGTTTTAATCTGGTCCTTTTCTAACTTCCTGTAGCAGCTAGCTTGCTGCAATGCTAGAGCTAGCTTAAATATCCACAACAAACAAGTAAAGATTGACTTCTTCAGATAATTTCTGTCAATTTCCTTAATGTTACTTTTGAGTTCAGTTATAATATCCTTCAGCCACCACACGAGGGAGCAGCAGCTCTGATGGCCATTTACTTGGACTACAGGCAGTAATTATCAGTTTGTATTTTTGTTTCTAAAGATCACCGTTTCTCCAAGAATGGTAAATTACCTGTATTTGATATAGCGTCTTCTAGAGTCCTGGGACCCCCTCACCCAAATGTCACAATAACATTATTTTGCTGTTCTGAAATCACTGAATTTGCAGATTTCCAACATTAGTTTCTGTTTATGCATTTATCCAAAGCTACGTACGCAGGCGAGGCAGCAGAGTGAGTCAAGTGTCTTGCCCAAGGACACAATTGCAGAAAGACTGGCAACCCTGTGATTACTGAAATAAACTCACCGTCAACTGTTTTGTGACCACTCCCAACTCAATCGCTGACCTATTCATCGCTTTGAGGACTTCAAAATCTGGCGCTTCGATGAACACAACATAGGGCAGGAATTCAGACGTCCGCAGGACTTTAAGGGCCTTCAGAGAACAGGCAGAGTGAGAATGGAATCAATAACATGCAAAAGCAGCATCAAAACATCTCAACACACTCTACCTGTGGGTTCACGTCCAGGATGCAGATCTTTCCTGTCTCGATCACCTCGTGTATGGAGTTGATCTTCGTCCCGTACAGGTTCCCGTCATACTCGCCGTGCTCCAAGAAACGACCGTTCCTGATGTCACACTCCATTTCATTCCGAGACATAAAGGAGTACGTCTGACCGTCTCGCTCGTCCACCTTTGGCTTTCTGGAAGTGACTGCATAAAGATCAACACTGAAGGGGATCAGAACGGGGAGCAAACTGGTCTCACATCCCATCAAATCATTACGATTCCCTCTAAAAACAGCTTTAAGTGATCTAACAGAACATTGGTGAGGGAAGGTCTGCACTCACAGGGGATGGTGGTGCCGTAGCGATGAGGATCAGACAGCAGCAGCTTGTTTTTCAGACTACGCCGACCAACTCCCTGTGCTCCAATCAGAACCAGTGTCTTCCTCCTGAAAGGCGGGACTTTGGCGACCTCCTCATAGATTCGCAGCTCGTGCCGATCAAACTCTAGTAGACCGACAGTCAGACATAAATGAGATGAGCAGCGGGATCACAAAGCTCAAACGAGACGCTACGATGCTGATTCTTGTACCTGCATTCTTGGTGGTCAAATACATCATCTTCTTCTTCTTCTTCCCACCAATCCCTGCACACAGAGGACCTGAGACCCGGAGCACAACAAATCAACCAGTCATACCTCACTGCAGCCACTTCAACCAAGTCCCAGCTGACACGATTCTTCATCTAAATAAAGAGCTCTGCCAAGTCATAAACTCAAAGGCTTAGAGCATGACTGGAAAGGGCCACCAGATGGCAGTGTGTACCATAACGGCTCAGTCTGTGCAGCAGGGTTGGTACCAGAGGACACCTGTGACTTTGCAATCTGCTGACCTTCTCTTCAGTATGACAGAATATTACCCTCTCACAACCAGGAGCTTAGTTTAACCCAGTCTGGGGAAAGAAAATTGTTTCAGTTGCTTTTAGGACCTAAACAAGCTTATTATTATGTGTTTTTTATCAACTATTGGAGGTTAAACAGAACATTTTCACCACTGATTGTTTTCAACCCAAACATTTTCCTTTTTAGAACGTTTTTCAGTATCATCTGATAAAAACAAACGTGCTAGCAGACAGATGTGTCCTTTCCCGTCTCTAAGGCAGCTACAGTCTGGACTAGTTGTCCTCTCATCACGAGCAAAGGGCATCAGGCGCTCCATGACTCACCACCTGTTTTGCTGCTGCCGACGACTTCTAAAGAGCAGATCTCTGTAAACACATAACACTGCTGTTCCCTCCGTGTCTCATATGAGCAGAGATCATTATTGATCAAGTTTTTGTTTACGGGGTCTTACTGCGACTCCTGAATCAGTGCTCCGTCTGAGGGAGGGCTGTTTGTGAACGTCACATTCAGCAGATTGTTTTAAGTCAATCTGATGCTCACTACTGGTTCTTAAACGCACATGAAGAGGTGAAAGAAAGACGAGTGCTTGATGAGATGAAGAACAAATGTCAGCTGTGGCCACATTCTTCTTTTTTCTTCAAACCAAGGTGATAAAGTCACAAGAACAGAGAGGACTACCTGAAGCTCTGGTCGGTCTACAACAGCTGTGTCCTTTAATGATCCAACTTCTTTTGTTGAAGGCAGCTTAGCCCTCATCACAGCTGAGGTAATATATATAATAGAAAATCATAAGTGGAACAAACAATCATTCTTCTTTTAAGAATGTGTGAATGTTGGTAAAATTGAATTAATTTAGTTCCAAACAGGATCTTGTGCACCCTCTGGGTTGGGAATGAGTTTTTGCCCCATTAGGTGACTTCAAAGGTACTTGTGTCTTGATGGAGTGAGATGGTCTGATGGACTGGGGCTTCGTCTTCAGTAACAAAGGACTAGTTTAAATGTAAAGCAGGAGCTGAGTCTCGTTCTAAAGCTCCGGGTCTACTGGTCTCTTTCACATGTGCTCACTAACTTAAAACCAAAACAAAAATTACAAATACTGAAAATAAGTGGTTGAAAAGACCTTCTGGGCTCGGCTGTATGGATAAGATCAGGAACTCGGTCAAAACTAAAGTGCTGCTTCTCTTTGGAAGAAGCCCGATGAGGTTCAGGATGCCCCCTGGCCTCTAGAAGATTTCTGACAAGTTCAATTGGATGGGTACTGCAGGGCAGACCAGAACTCTTCTCAGGTCTGGGAGCACCTTGGGAGTCTCCAGGAGGAGCTATGTCTAGGCTTCCCTCCTAGAGCTGTTACCCTCAAAACCCAACTTTGGATAAGTGCCAAAAACGGGTCAGATCTAAGAATTTTGCCTCCAAAAAATGTGGTAATCATGTGTTTCCAATGGTTTTATCCGTCCTTCTACCTGTTGTAGCGAGCTCCATGTCTCTCTTCACAAATGCTTTCCTCTTCTCCTCAAGAAGTTGGCTTGGAATCAGGCCTGCACTGCCCCCTTCTATGTGACATGCCTGTAAGGGAAGCACACACAAGCACGGGGTAATCAAAAGGACAGAAACACTGTCTAACTGGAAACTGTAGGGAATTAACTCACCTGCCACCAGTTCAGGTCTTCCTGGTTAAAGATCTGCAAAATGTCTCCACTACTGAAGCTGAGGCCCGCCTCCTTGCAGGGAATTAGGTTATCATGAGTCGGGTCGTAGTCAAAGTGACACTTCACAAAGGCCTAAAAACAAGAATAACGTCCTTAAAATGTTGATGCTAGACTGAATAAATGCATATTTTTAAATAAAGGGTGGTGATGGATGGACCAGGTGAGTAAGAGTCCAGCTCCCTCTGTGATGTGATTCTGTCCATCCAATCCCATTCTTATGAGGCTGAGTGTAAGAGGCAGACACAGATGGAGAGGGAAATGGGAGAAAAATGGAGGGAGACAGAGAAACTGAAGAGGAAGACAAAACTCTGTAGCCATGGCAACCATCCCCTCCTCCTTGTCTTGTATTGAACTGATGCAAGAACATAAAAAGGCCCAGCAGCTCTCTCTCTCTCTCTCTCTCTCTCTCTCTCTCTCTCTCTCTCTCTCTCTCTCTCTCTCTCTCTCTCTCTCTCTCTCTCTCTCTCTCTCTCTCTCTCTCTCTCTCTCTCTCTCTCTCTCTCTCTCTCTCTCTCTCTCTCTCTCTCTCTCTCTCTCTCTCTCTCTCTCTCTCTCTCTCTCTCTCTCTCTCTCTCTCTCTCTCTCTCTCTCTCTCTCGCACACACACACACCCTCCTGGAGCCAAAGCGAGCTGTCGGCTGAGATTAGTGGCTGTGTGATGGTGGAACTGGGGGCCGGTCAGGGTGTGCAGACAGCTGGATTACGTTTAGACACAACTTTCAGTAGCAACTCTGAACACTTGATCCACCTACACAGCTCTCGGCAGCGTGAGCACAAATGGTTCTTCTTTCAAATCTCTGACTGACAGACACTACTGAGTGTTTACAAAGGCTCCTCTATCACAGGTGAACACAACAAAAATGTGAAAGTTACCACTGACATCTCCAGTCCCTAAAAAACAACAGTCTCAGATATTGCACACAGATGTTCTTGCAGAAAAGCCTTCCTCTAGTGAAATGCATGAAGCAGCCAGGACTAAAACTTCAATGTCACATTCAAACCCTGCAGAAAAGGAGGGAAGTTTTCTTACATTTTTACAGCTTTTACCTGGCTTGGAGTCAGGCCTGCTCTAGTGCTTGAGTCCTCTGTTCAGATTTGAGTGGTTTTATCTTTTGATTTGATCTCATCCTGTCCCTTAAAGTCCTGATGAGATGTTTAATTTTGAGGTTAACAGGAATAAAGTCATAGTTAGAAAACTAGATCAGGAACAAAGAAATCAATGAAAATGACTTTGCTAAAAGGAAAAACATTAAATTGTGGCTAGAACTGTATTTAAATGCTGCTTCATGATTTGGTTTGGGTTCTTCTGTAGTAAGGTGCCCTGTGAATGTGTTCTGAGGCGTTGTGTTTAATACTGTGTTTTACAGTTACTTATATGTTTAACCTCTTTTGAGATGTTAAGACAGGTTTAGATTTTTGAGATGATGTTTCTGATTTATTCGTCTTTTACCTCATTTATGTAAAAAAATCCTAATCACGATACTAAAACTCACTGAGCAGAGGAAAACTATTCACATTTTAAGGAAGCTGCAGCACTGACTACCGTAAGATGATGGCTGAAATCTGGGATTAAATCTTACGAGACGACCAGATTTAATGGGGTGGTGTTGGCACAAGAGTTAAGTGCCTGCCATGTAATCAGAAGGTTGCAGGTTCAAGCCAAACTCGGTCTATTGCTGTCGTTGTGTCCTTGGGCAAGACTCTTAAGCCACCTTGCCTGCTGGCGGTGTTGGGATGGACCAGTGCCACCTGTGTAAATAAGCCCTTTACCATTTACAAGCCATAAATTATAGGAGCAAAAATACAAAGTATAGACAGAGTGCTGCTATAAGAGCAGAGAAGAGCTGCAGGAGCAATCACATCCTTATTTATGCAGACCTTTCTAAAATTAACCAAAGGACACATGTGAGTTTAGACTTATAATAGGAGAAAAAGAATGAAAGACAAAATCAGATCGCCCATATAAAACTGCGCACTACTTTTGGCCCCTCCCACTAGTGGTGAGCACATGGAAGGCGAGACCCATCTCTCCTCTTTGGGCTCTGTCCAGCCGGAATCCATGGATTAAAGGTCGGGCCCCCAGACGCTCACCGACGTGCCCCAGCTCCAGGTCTGGCTCCAGAGGGGACCCCGGTGACGCACGTCCAGGCGAGGGAAAACTGTCTCCGTATATGGTACTCGTCATAAGGTCACCGTGAGAATGTTTCAAAATAAATGTTGACCTTTTTCATGCATTAAGATTTTGGTGCTAGATCTCATTTCACTGAGCCAAGGTCAACGTTGAGACGCACGATCGATAAAAATGCAGGAATAGTCAGTCAGAAAGAAGAAATAAGGGAAATGAGGTGCTCTCAAACAGAAACAAACTCATAATAATAAGTTCTGCTCACTCATTCAGATGAGAAAATTCAAAAGCAAAGGACACACTGCTTACTACAGGAGGAGGTAGTGAAGATGATGGAAGAATTGTGGGATTCAAACAGAAAAAAGTGTGTTTTGAAAAATGCTGAAGGAAATAAAAGTGACAAGTTCAACAAATTAAAGCTGGAAGAAAATCTCCAAAGAGGCGCAGAAGAAAAGCAAAGACAACGATAACCTGAGGGTGGAACTTAAACGCGGAGGAGTAAAAACGACAAACAGCTGACATAAGACAACGAACTGAAACTTTTAAATCACTTTTTACAACTCAGCAGATCATTTATGTATTGAGTTTATTTACATAACCCACGCATATTGTCTGTTTAAATTATATTCAAGTGCACTTTAATCTGGTGTTTTTTTACAACTCAGTGACAGACTTTTGTCTCAGTCTTCTGCCTTTTCAACCAGAGACTCGATCAGTCACTCTAAACTGACTGACATCTTCAGTTGCTGAGGCTCTTCAGCAGGCACACGTCATCTATAACTCAGGATGCTTCACTCAACTTCACGAGGCAAAAAAAAGCACTTCAGCAACAAAAAAAGACCTTATTTAGGACGTAAATGATGCAAAAACATTAAACAGGGTCATCATGTAAGCAAGCTGCTGCACATTTGCATTTATGACAAAGCTGTAATTAACAAACTAGCTTGTGTGATCTAAAAGGTCCTGCTGCAGCCTGAGATGAATGGTTCTTGGCTCAGAATACAAGGTTAGATAGGCGGGCGGGTGCCAGAGAGGGTAAAAGGGTGAACCCATAGACTGAAACGTCCTTTTAAGAGAATTAAAACATTATAAAGAGTGTTTATTCCGGAGCGTGCTGAACCACACTGACCTGTCTGGGTGTATGCGGCTCCTGGTAGCTGGGTAAGATCTTCAGCACCACGCTGCCGCTCGCCTCCTTCAGCATCTCCTGGAGCACTTTGGGGTCATTGCCCACCTCTTTCCCGTTCACCTCCTTGATGATGTCGCCCACGTGAAGGAGACCTTGTTGGTCGATCATGCCTCCGTGGAGGATCCTGGCGATCACCAGCTCGCCACTCTCCACTCGGAATGTCACCCCCTGTGCACATTTTAGACGTATTTCAAACAAATAACTAGGTAGGCTTTGAAGCTGTTGATACGATGCCTCGACCTGGACATGAACTGTGGGGGTAAGACACACCTCAGGTGTTACGTGATGAATCATTTAGAAGTTTAAAACTAGAAACTGGGGCTAGGAGGTTCATTTATCAGGATCTTGAAGAAATGACTGACTGCTAACACTGAGATGAGTTTCTCCTGCAGGGACGAGTCGGATGAGGTGGCTTAAGGGTGCGATTAGGGTGCTCCATGAACATCTCCCTGGACAGGTGAGTCAGGCATGTCCTTCAGGTGGGAGACACTGAATGACTAAACCAGGACATGCTGGTGGCACTATCTGAGCTAGCTTGGGAACCCACGGAACCCACCAGAGAAGCTGATGGAGGTAGAGGTTGGGGCGTTCTTTCTGGGGTTGCTGTCCTAAGATCCGGAGCAGGATGAGTGAGGGAAGAGGGGATAGCTTGCTAGGATGTTTCTCATCCTCACAGCAGCCATGCTAACTGAGAACTTTGGAGTTTCCATCTCTTAAATGAAAGAAGTGTGGGGAAAAAACGGTTTGTTTTAGAAATTCTGCTTTCTAGTTGAAGAGTAAAGCTCAGCAGGAGGGAGAATCTTTTTGACCTGCCCTTAAAAATAGATTTGGATGCAACAACCTCCCAAATTTCTGAGGTTTCCATAATACAACCCTCTCATCCCTGCACCTGAGGCACATTCCTGAAGGCATGGACTTCTATTGTTTTAAAGGTTCTGCTTGCAGCAAGTATGATAGCACTGGCTTCTTTTACCAGAACATTCTTTAATATAATTAAACATCTCCACCTACTGGTGCTGTTTTCTGTTTTAAAGAATAATAGAAACAGATTTCGTTACCCTGAGTGCTGGAGCATCTCCAGTAAGGCGTGATGACTATACTCCATTATTACAGAGTGAACCTTACCAGGTGCTCTCCAGACACCTTGCGAATGCCGACCATCCTGACTGCATCTGGGGGAACAGGCTGATTGTTGAGGGCTGCATCCATGAAGGAGCAGGGGCTTGGGGGAGGAGTCTCGTAGTTTTTGGAAGCTACAGAATCGTGGGTTTCCAGAAGCGACTGAGCAGAAAGAAAATCATGCAACAGAAAATTAGCGTCTCACTACAATAGAATTAAAATGCTGTTCATTAGAGAAACGGTAGACCTGGAAGTGAGGTTCCTTCAGGATCCGGATGAGCTCATCGGCCGCCTGACTTCTGTGTGTTAGAGGACTGAGGTCCTTCAGTATGTCCTGGACCAGCTCCACGTTGTTCTCACTCACGGCCTCCAGCTTGGGCTCCTCAAACCTCTCATGGGCCTTTAGCGGACAGAAAACACAACCTACCTGATGCAAACAGGCGGTACTTGTTTGTTCTCGTGTGCGGAAGCATCAAATACGACGACTCCTTTTAGCAACTGAACAGAGGTTTTTCACCGACAGGTCCAGAGCACAAAGCACTAACAGTTAGATGTTGTGCCTTGAGCTTTATGGTGGGTATGGTGAAGCATCAATATTACAAGGAACACAGATTTTTTTCTATTTGTTCTCATCTTAAACAATAAAGAGAGGTGGAGAAGGTTCCCACGCCTCTGGTTCAGGGTCAAAAAGGGTTTAACTGAAGCTAAGAGCAATAGTTCATCATCACCTCATTGATTACTTTCATCTTCAATTAAAAGCTTTTAGATTTTTACAGCATCAACATCAGGAGGTGTCTGGTCACATGTACTTCCTGTTTGTGTTGCATCTTTTGTAGGCATGAAAAAATAAATTATGATCCCTGATTAACGTTAGCATGACCATTGCCGATCGCTGTGTTTACACTCTCACCACAGTACGTCTACCAGGGCCCTACAAAGGAACAGGACATTGTTGTTGCACTGAGAAAATAAAAAGTCTGTCACGTTGCAGGTTAGGAGGAGGTTAGGACCCATGATGCAGATAACAGCAGATGACACGAGGCAGGAGCGGTTTAAAAGTAAAATCCTTTTTATTAGGATTAGGAACCAAAAAATCCTAGATGGGCAGGAAGACAAAAACCTAAGTCCTGAACACCAGGAGGACAAAAGCTCTCATAGAGCACAAACCAAGAGAAGAGGCACAAAGCTCACATAGAGCACAAAACAACGCTGACACAAAACAATGGACCGACAAGACACTGAGGCCCCGTCCACACGTAGCCAGGGATCTGCCAAAACGTAGATATTTTTCTACGTTTTGGCCTGTCATCCACACGAAAACTGAGTTTTTTCCACATGAAAACGGATCTTTTTTAAAAACTCCGGCAAAAGTGAAGATCTGCGTTTTCTCCATTTTGGATGTCTGCGTGTGGACAGAAAAAACCGGAGTTTTAAGGTCCGCAACGTCACTTTCCGCGACAAAAAATGCTGACATCACGTGTGCGACCTGTGTTTACACTAGCCGACAGCATGGATGCCCTCAGAGCTGCGCTCGCTTTATCAATTGTCCAAGCGCTTTTTGCTTGTTTGTTTTTGCAAACGGAATTACTGCTCTTTGCGGAAGACCACAGACGAAGGACGAGGTTAAGAACGGGGGAATTACTGCCGCCTACAGGTCTGGCATGTCCTTAACAATGTATTTATCCGGGTACATGTGGACAGAGTTTCTTTTTAAAACGAGCTGGTGTGGATGCAAGTTTCTGGAGGGGCGGATATTCGTTTAAAAAAAACCCGGCTATGTGTGGACTAGGCTTGAGACACAGACAGGGCTTTATACACTGGGGCATGATGGGAGGCAGATGGGCTGCAGGTGTGAGGGGAGAACCAGGTGAAAACAACTAATCAGGGAAGAAACAAACATGACCTAAGAGTAAAACCTAAAGACAAGAAAAGCAGCAACATAACTAATATTCTAAAGGGGAAGGAAAACTACAAACACCGGTGGGAAAAAAACACACTAAAGAGACTAATAAAATGAAAAGCTGAAACTATAAAAACTGTGGAGGGGTGACTGGGGAAGACTGAAGGAACACAGGACCTGGGAGAGATGAGCTGGAGGGCTGTAGATCTGGGAACACAGAAAGAGAAACTACAGGGGCGTGACTAAGGAGGACCATGGGGAGCACAGGACCTGGAGGGAGATACCTGGGGGGGAAGGAAACCTAGAGGGGCTGCAGCTCTGGGAGCACATGAGGAAGACGTAGACAATGACACAAGAGGGCGCTAGGATACACAACAGGAGAACCTAGAGACGAATGGAGAACACAAGGAGACACATGAGGGGAGATGCAGACGCAGACCATGACAGTCTGATAGAAGAAAAGAGGGATCAGATGATGAGTTTTACAAAAATGATGAGTCTCTCTGTCTATGAAACTGAATCGGTCGTCCTCTAGGATTTTTTTTTTGTTGTTGCGTAAAGAGAAATGCTTCACTTCTGGAGTCAAAATATAAATTTTAATCAAATCAAATCAATCGACACCAAAAATCAGCTGGTGATTGGAATCAAAGTCATGGCCAGCCAACCTGAAACTGAAGATTTATGTTCTTGGCCTTCAAGAGCACCGCTGCTCTAGCCTGGCCTGCCAGACTGTCTGGTCTACACAGAGGTGGGGTCTGGATACCCAGAAGCAGAGAGCACCATGAGGGGCGGGACTAGCCAGCTCAAACAACTATCACGCAAAGCTGTAGTTTTTTAACTGTAGTCAAAAATATTGTCTGGTGACGACGCAAACATCTTTCTTTACAAGAAAGGCGTTTAGTGTTTCTACTTGTTGTGGTTTTAAAGACATGTTCAATCATTTAGAACAGAGGAAAGAGCCACAGCGAACTCTGCTTCAGATGCTATTTTCCTTGTTTCCGAGAAACCGAGTGTCGCTGCTCATCACTGATTGGCTCGGTTAAAATTCTCAGGGGGTGGGGTTATTTGAACGGAGGCCCTTTGCTTCCCATAAGGAAGCAATGGCATGGCTGGCCAGGCTAAAAGAATATACGTTTTTTTCTGCTCCACAAACTCACCATATATTATTGACATGAAGGATTTTATCCCAGTATCATTATTTTCTAGTCAGGCAAAATTTTAAATAAAATTAGCTATTTATGAATTATAATTCTTTGAGATTAGTTAGAATTGGCCAAAAGTGGTTTTAGAAATGTACCAGCCCTCAGAATGTTAATCTCTAGAGTAAACATTTTGTTTTGGGTGAAATGACAAAAGTTCTTTTTTTTTCTTTAAAGGCGTGGAACACTGAAAAACCATTTTTTTAATTATCATAATCAGTCAGTCTGAGTTTTCCATGCAGGCTGAACATGAAAATAGTCTCTTACACCTATCTCCTGTATTAGCTTCTGATAGAAAACAGACAGTGAAACTCTAGGATTTGAAAATCCTGACAGATCTGTCACTGTCACTCAACATTCATGGGCTGACCCATCTTGACTCACGAAGGGGAAAGCTGTTGTTGGTTTAGCATCCAGGAAACAGCAGAGGACGTCTCAGCTAGTAGAAGCTAAATGTTAGCATTAGCAACTCCACCACACAGCAGAACTCCTTCAGGCTTGAGTTATTTGTGGAGATAAAACATCAATGTTGCAGAGCAAACAGAGTGGTAGAGTTGATTTGCTGTTAGCCAATCAGAGGTAAGATGTCCAAATATCAGGAAATAAGACTCAAAATCCCTCGTCTGAAGCTCCGCTGTGCTGTGGCTCACCTCTAGTTCCTAAAACTGGTGCACCAATTCTTTGTTTCCCCAGAGAACAACTTATAAGGTATTAATTCCTATTAGAGAGCACTGCAAATGTATTAAATAAATGGGAGAACCGCACCTCTAACGATAAGAGTTCTCCAACTCGTACCTCTAAAACTACCACAAATATCTCAAAATAATACTATTTCAAAGTTTCATCATGCATCATTAATGCTAAACAACAGAAAAATGTTTTGGTAGACCTAAAATAAAAGAACGAGCTTTATTTTTTAAAACAGTAATGACGAAGAATAGAAACAGAATAAATGACTGATGTCTAAAGACGTGCGTATTACTACTACACGTTTGAACTGGTGCATTACACATTCAGATGTTGAAGGTATAAAGACTCTGTTGGGGTTGAAACAGTCATCAGCTACACATAAATGAATGTGTCTGAAGTGTTTTGGTGTCACAATGCCTTACTGAGGATTTGTCTGATGGAACTGACTGACTATTCTGACAGAAACTATATTTACTTGCTGAGGGAGAGGGGAAAACTCCCTGCTGAGAGACAGGAAACGACAGATACACACAGCAAAACCACAAAACAGATAACACGGACTTTCACACGAGCCTACATTAAGAGTTACATAAACAACCCACCCCATGCGTTCCAGAGCACAAAAACCTCATAAAAGACAGAACTCTAAATATTCCAACATATACCAAACCTCATAGTGAGTGACTAAAACAACAGAACATAAAAAAGGAGAGTTGAATGAGCAAATGTGCTTTTCACTGCAGTAAACCTGCATGAGCCAGATTACAAAGAGAAAGAACTGTTGGGTAAGAAGTGGATCAACTCCAAGCAGACTCAGCTGGAGACGAGCATGCAGACCGGCGTTCTACAACATGAACAACATGCATGGCTGTGTGTTAACATTTTAGCTTAAAACACAGAACAAAAACTAGTAGCACGAGCTTAAACATTCGGTAACACTTTACAATAAGGGTCCCTTTATTAATGTTAGTGCATTATTTGGCATTAAGTGCAACTGCTTAATTTAAATGTTAATATTAGGTAATGCATCACTAAGCAGGAGTTGTTTTTCCTGAAAAAAAAAATCGTAAACAAACACTATCTTGTCCGCACGTCTTCCCCCTCGCAGTTTATTTTCTTATTCTCTAGCTTTGTCTGTTGACACGTTTATTCCCCCATTACGGACCTTCTTCCCATTTTTACCTGTCTGCTTTTGTTTTTACCGATGCTTTAACCAAGCTACAGGCTACTGCACCTCCGCCACAGGAGAGGAGAGCAGGATAACGTACTAATGATCACCCGCTCACACGGTCCTCCAGCTCCTCAGGCTCCTGAGCGTCTGCAAAGGCAGAAAGACGTCACGCTGAAGTTCCACACATGTGCAGTGGGCTTTATTTTACTCCAAGAATCTGAATAGATGTGTACACGGAGGTCAATCAGAATGATGATTGAATAAAACACCCTCTCTCAATCAGAATGGAATTACATTCTCATCAGGCCGTATCCGATCAGAATATTCCGATTGACATGTTAACATGAAAAACATTGTGATCTGATAGGCCATTCATTCTGATTACTTGTGCCCATGTAAACATAGCTAATGTAATTTCAAAAAGAACATTTTCATTCATT